CGAGGACTTTAGCCACTAGGCTACTGCCCCAGGCATGATATACTTTATTTTAAGCCATATAGAGCAATTTATACTTAGCATACCAGGAGGTTTAGCTAACCACCATAGGATGGTGATAGGAAATGCTTTACTGAAGTCATGATGATGACAAAGGGTAGCTCTAGTGAGAAAAGAGAAATCTGCAGAAAGTGTCAGCTGTCTTGGTGTATTTGGTATTTTAGTGCTGTGAGAAGAGGGCAATAGTTCCCTTTTAAAGGGCTCCAGGAATAGGGCCCAAGTCATGGTTCTGGGATATTTAAAAACAATCACAGCCAGAGACGAAAGGAACTGATCTTGAAGAAAAATCAGCAGTGGCTGGAGCAGGTCAGGTGTGGGGAAGGCCTTCCCCGAGAGGGACCCTTGAAACATCTCAGATTTTCACAAGTGAGTTTTGTAAATCTAGAAGGAGTGCAGGATTAGAAACAGAATCTCGAGGGAGAAAGGATGCTTGAAGCTCAAAGCCAACCACAGATTTTGCTCTAAGCGCTAGATTTCCCCGCAAACCAAGAAGCCTCGTGTTGGCCGAGTCAACAGGAAAGGGAGCTGAAGCCTGATCCAGTGCAGTGTTTAAGTTTCTCGTTTTTATTGGCTCAAACTTGATTTGCTTGTTGTTTAAAGCTCAAAGACAGTGTTCTCTGAGCATGTTGTTTTGCTAAAATCTGTTCATTCTGAAAGTCAGGTATAAAAGCTTTTCCAGTTAAACTAGCAGGTATGTTTCTAGTAGTAGATAAAAGACAGAATAACCACACAAACATTGATATTGAACATGAGTCAGGTGTGTTTGTCATCACTGGGGACTTCACAGCTATCTGCTTTTGTTAAAAAATTTTTTTTCTTGCTATAACCCTATATTAATTGAATGATGATCACTTCTATATACATACATGCAAGCAAATGTCAGGTAAATGCCAAAGTCTTATATAAGTGTGTATGTATATGCTAGAATTATAACAATAATAGATTATCTGAGAACCACTGTTTTTTCTTCCGCTTGATTTCCGTTTCAGAGACCATTTGAGTAGATATAATTTAACTTCTTCCTGGTTAGTACAATGGGATTTTCTGTATATTTTATTGATTCTGAAATCCCAGTGGTCATAAATTGTATCATTATTTTATATATCATGAAAGAAGGGGGAAAGCCCTACCAAGGAAAGCACAGTAACATTTGTTTTGGTTGTTTTTTCACTTTTATAAATTTTGCATTCTGAATTATGTGGTACAATTTTGTATAAGCTGGGATTCCCCCCCAAACTCCCACCCCTCGCCAGGTTTCCCCACGTTGCTACAATGGCATAGTCCTTCATAATTCTATCAGTCTCTTATTTAAATGTGCCCCGACATTGTTGGTACAGACCGTGTCAGGCAGTCCAGCATCCCGTTGTCTGCGAATGTCCAACAGTTTCATTGGGAATCTATCTTTAGTCTGAAAGCAGGGATGCATGTTCCATTATACCCCCACATCTGTATATGAGAGACCCCAGTACTCCATCACTATACATTTCCATAAGTGAGAAGTCATGAAACAAGGTCAACAACTGGTATGAGTTAGAACAGCCACATCAACAACAACAAATTACAGCACCATGAAAAGACACTCCACTGTGTAACCAACACATGAGTGACAAAAACGAAACACAGAAGTCTCTTGGGGAAAATAATGCCACTGAAGCACAGTAACATTTGATTTTAGAGTCATTCAATTTCAAATATTGAGGAAAGTACAGATTTTAAGATTAATGATGTGTTTATTAATGACTGTAGGAAGTGCTCAAATTTCAGTTGTTGGATATCGGAAAATACACATTTTTTAATTTATACATAATTATAAAGAAACTAGAGAGAATATTTTGGCTTATATTTGCAGATTAGGAACAGTGAAAATTGTTGGATTAAATAACATTTAAATTACAGATTTAGTCTTAGTTAAATATAGACCTACAGAAAGATTCAGCAATACTGGTAGTCATTAACCTTTAAAACCAAGAAGGTTCTTAGGATTGACAAAGATGATAGTCGGTGATGATTCGTATTGAATCTGCTTTAGTCTGAGTGGTCACACATGATTAGATCTGAGGATTACAGCTAACAGCTCTGCCCTCCTGCTGCTCCAAGTTCATGCTGCAGAGAGGTGGCCAGCGTCAGGCACCGTAAGCATGCAGAAACCCAAGTGCTGCACAGACTCTGACCTGGGAGCTCCTATTTAGGCTAAGAGGACTGTGTGGGTGGGATGGACCATGAGGAAGTGTCAGGAACTGGAAGCAACCTGTGCTGGGACTGGCCTGGGCACCTCGGTGGCCTCCCCTGGAGCAGAGGACAGGCCTGTCATGTGAGACTGTGCAGAACATGCCCAGGGGAAAACCTGGAGGATTTTAAAGGGGGAAGTGACCCTGGTTCCTCTGGAAGAAACCCCTGGAGGAGCCTATGGCTGGTTCAGAGCAGGTCAGCTGGCTGCTCAGCCTGGGGCTTGTGAAGGAAGATGGTATTTTTTTTTGAACACTGACACGATGTTATTAAAAAGTTTTGGATGTTGAATTTTCCAGTTAGGATGTTTAGTATGCAAATTATCTTTTCCAAAATCCAAAGTCATTTCCAAAATCTGAAATATTTTTGATCCTAAGGATTCTAGGTAAGAGATACTAACCAGTATCAACATACTGTAATACTACTAAAAGCTGTAATTTGTGTACATTGTGACCCAGCAGTGCCATTTCTAGACACTCTAAAGAAATTATCTCAGATACACATATTCATTCTTCTAGTACATTCTTCCTTGTTGTTAGTAAGTAAGTCTCTAGTTTAAAAGATAATAGTATTTTCAGTACCTGGCACGGTAGCCTAGTGGCTAGAGTCCTCACCTTGCAGGCACTGCGATCCCATATGGGCGCTGGTTTGTATCCTAGCTGCTCCAGTTCCCACCCAGCTCCCTGCTTGTGGCCTAGGAGGGCAATGCAGGACTGTCCAAGGTTTTAGGACCTGGCACCCACATGGGAGACACAGAGAAAGATCCTGGCTCCGGGCTTTAGATTGGCTCAGCTCCAGCTGTTGTGGCCACTTGGAGAATGGATATCTTCCTTTCTCTCTATATCTTCCTTTCGAATAAAATTAAGTAAACATTTTTTTTTAAAAAAAAGATTATAGTATTTTCAAACAAACGGAAAGGGAAGGGAAAAATCACGCAGACTTCAAGGCTGTCGTGTCATCCCAGAAAATGTGTTTGCATGGGAAGAGTCCTCTGTGCATCTGGGAGGGTGCCCGGAAGAGGGAGGCTGCAGGGGCAACACGGAGGAAAGTGTTGGAGATGAGAGACCAGAAGGAAGATGATGCAGGTAGTGCGTGCCTTCTCAGAATGACCTGGAAACCTAACCACACCTCAGGTAACAGGAGGTGTCGAGAGATGCGTTTGCAGCCAGTTCTGGAGCCCGGCGAGGGAGCTGTGAGTGCACAGGTAAATCCAAGCCATCCCGAGTAAGGGTTGACTGAGCAGGATGGACTTGGGGCAGAACCTCCACTCCACCCGCATGCCGTGCCCTTCCCCTCCCTCCCTCCCACCTCCTCCCCCTGCTTTGCCCACCGCCTCTTCCCTCCCTCCCTGTTTCTACTACCTGCCCCTCTAATGTTTTTAATTTATAGTCTGAGTACAGAAAACTACCAGACACTTGCAGATATTTCTCTCTCTCTTTTTTCATGTCCTGTTGCGTCTTTCTACATGTCAGCTTTTTTACCCTTGTGGTAGAAACCTCTGTGTTCATGAGGTTCAGATGAACTACTGTGTGTGAGCCTGCTGGTCTCCACTCCTGCCCCAGGCCCGATGCCTCGTGAAGCCCCTGGACCATTTCCTTGGTGGTGCAGTGGGGAGTCGACGTTTTAGCTGGACCTCTGAGGATAGCACTTGAGAGCCGCGGTTAGCTGAAAAGCTCTCCAGGAGTCTGACCTTGCCGTTTCACTGAGCTCAAGGCTATCGCCTCTGCTATTTCCTTTTCTCGTCAGTGTAGAAAAATCATTTTTCACCTTGTGGAATCATCGTTGAAGTTTAGCTCAGAATTTTAAAAATCATTTCTTCTTCCAAGGTAAAAAATTTTCCTTAGGAAATGAGCCAGGTTTTAAAAACCATGCATATTGTGGCTTGTGTATATATACATGTGCACATGGATGAAAATGCATTTTGAAGTTGGTGGTTTTCCCAGCTATGCTTTACTCATTAGACTTTGTAGAATTCTCGAAAGCTCTTAGAGATTATTTTATTCTATTTTTTTCTATTTTTTATTCTATTTTATTTATTTGTAACTATTTTACAAAGTAAAGACTATAATGTTTGTTCCAGATAACTTTGTAGATAAAGGAGTACCCCAAACACTGTGTCATAGAATTAGGGGTCTTGGAAAGTTCAGGTTTTCATCATTGAGACTTTGGAAAATTATTTCAGGGTCGTAAAATCCGTAGCTGCATTTCACCTACCCTAGTAGACAGTCAAGCCATGTCAGCACATCAGTGTCCGTGCCAGATTCTGTGTGGATTTTCATGACTGGAAAGGCTGCGGCTTGAGTGGAGTAAGACAGCCTCCTAATGTTGAACTGACGTAGACTCGATGTGTCAGGCTGCAGCATTCAAACTCGCACAGTGTTCATGAGTGTGTCTGTTAGCGAGTGCGTCTTAGCCCCAGGAGCTGAAGGTCTGTGTGAATGTTACCAGAAGTCTGTGTGTTGTAAGTGGAGCCCTTATTTTATAAAAACCTGATTTGATGTTATCAGGCAGCACTTCGGCTACCTACTTCATACATGCAACAATGCAATGCTGCATAATTCACGGTACTTTAGCTTTTCTTGAATCATTCGTGTTTGTTAGCTGCTATATTTTGGATTCTGTGTCCACTGACCACGTAAAAACGAGGCCTGTGGCTGCTTGTCCTTGGAAATGACTTCTGTGTAAGTGTGCCATTCTCCTTTCTCCTTCCCTTGCAGTCGCGAGATGGAGAATAAAGAAACTCTGAAAGGCCTGCACAAGATGGACGATCGCCCCGAAGAGCGAATGATCAGGGAGAAGCTGAAGGCAACCTGCATGCCTGCCTGGAAGCACGAGTGGCTGGAGAGGAGGAATAGGCGGGGCCCAGTGGTGAGTGGCAGGGGCAGAGGCACCTGCTCTAAGGAAGGGTACACAGGAGGAGGCGGAAAATCAAGCGTAAATAGATCCCCTTGTAAGCTTTCCTTCCTCTTCACGTTAAATGCAGTAATTTTATTTACTTGAGAGCCTGGCCACTCGGAATAAATCATAATTAAAACTGCCTATTAGCAACTCAACCAGTTCCAGAAATGTAACTGGTAGAGGACCCAGTGCTTTAAGCAACACTGCCCTCTGATGGTAGCATCTAAAATCCTTTGTTAGAGTTGTAGATGGTGTTCCACGCTAACTTAAATCAACTTTGCAATCAACGTAAATGCTTTATCTCTAAGATAAAATCCATGAGCTCTTCATTCCAGAAATCTTACAGGAAAACATAAAATGGACTCATGAGGTTCCAGGTGAGTTAAAAATCTGTAAGATTTGGCTAAAGAAGACTCGAGTGCCTGGGTTAGCAAGGCCAAGGGCATTGGTGACTGTCTTGTGAAGTCAGGTCACCGTGAAGTGTGCTGCTTTGTTCTCCCTGGGCAGTGGTCGGTCCCCTCTGTTCCAAGCGCATCACCACTCTGCAGCAGCAGGCTTGGCTTATTCTGACCTTTGTAAACAGAGACAGCAACTTAATTCTTCTGTCCTTTGGCATATGATCATCTCATCGCACATGCATTCCATATGCCTGTTTAAGTTAATGAAACATAAATAAAAACAGAGACGTGGCTCCTCTGTCGCATTAGCCACACTTCAGATGCTCCGTGGCTCTAAGTGGCTTGTGGCCCCCTTTGGGCAGTGCCGTGATAGAACATTCCTGTCATCTGAAAAAGCATCTCAAGGTCTCTCCCTAACTAGGATCTACTCAAATGTGTCAAAATCCACTAGGCATTGAGCTGCGTTGTGTTCAGTTATTCTTGCCCACCCCTTTGAATTCTAACCCACAGAACTCTTCAGAATAAATCTCATTATTCCATTAGGGATCAGCTTTCACAGCCACTGTGGTACCTTGAGTCCTTCCCAGCTGAGCCTCTGTGTTCTTGTTTATTCCTTACACAAGATAGTGTGGTGGGACTCCTTCATCATTTTAGTACTCAATTCAGAAGGTGAAGATGAAGTTGTGTTTGTCTTAGAAAAGAGAAAGCCCTGTTGCAACAGGGTGTAGACGGGAGCAGTGGAAAAGCCGTGTGTTCCCACTCCATCAGCCTGAAGAAGGTAGCTAAGTAGAAGTAGGCGGCTCTCTTGTGCAGGAGGCATTCATCAGAGCCGGATTCCGGAGCGTCCTCCAGCAGAGCGCTCAAAGAGGAGCCTGCTCTGTCCTTATGTGAACCAGGAACACCGACTCTCCCAAGAGCAAATCTTACTATACTGTCCACTTCCTGGCAAGTACCGGAGTGCTGTGTCTGTTTATGGGCAGCGAAGAGGAGAGATGTATGGGAGGAGTCACACACACAACACATCTTTCTCAAGAAAAGTCAGGCACGCCACCTTACATGTGTGGTTTACAGATTTCATATTCGTTTTTTTTTAAAGATTTATTTTTATTATTTTATTGTAAAGGCAGATATACAGAGAGGAGAGACAGAGAGGAAGATCTTCCATCCGATGATTCACTCCCCAAGTGAGCGCAACGGGCCGATGCTATGCCGATCCAAAGCCAGGAGCCTCTTCTGGGTCTCCCACGCGGGTGCAGGGCCCCAAAGCTTTGGGCCGTCCTCGACTGCTTTCCCGGGCCACAGGCAGGGAGCTGGAAGGGAAGCGGGCTGCTGGGATAGAACCGGCGCCCATATGGGATCCCTGGGGTGCAAGGCGAGGACCTTAACCACTGCGCCACTGCGCCGGGCCCCAGATTTCATATTCGTGAAGTTACTGTCTGCATGGGAAGCTTTGTTTTGTTCTGTTTTTATTGTTAACGTTCAAGTTGTTTGACATTGTTTTTGAAACACGACGTGTTTCAAACATCTATGTGACAGAGTGAATAAAGACAGTGGTCTGTGAGCAGGCGCAGGTGTGTGCAGTGGGCCAGGAAGGCATGCCAGGTGATGGTTAGGGGAGGCCTCAGGAAAGGTGGACGTTAACCGCATCTCTTGTTCAGGGGTGGGCTGCTCAGGGCGCTGCTGGCTGCAGACGCTGAGGAGGAGGGGACCTGGGAGTGACACAGGGTGGAAAGGGCGGGCAAGTTTGGGGAGCACAGCGGCTGCTTTTGAACTGGTAGTGGGAGAAAGGATGGGAGTTAAGGATGGCTACATTGGGTGGGTCTGAGAGCCCTGATAATTTTCTTTAAGCAGCAAGTTCTGAAAATTACATTTCTACTTGGTCTTTAAGCTTCCAGCTTTCCCCCCCTCCCCTGCGGAGATACATCTCTAAATGATCTGCTGTAATACAACATTGTGAAAACTCACAAAGGAAAAGCGATTGCATATTCATCAGACACAGTCATACTTAAAATTATGCATGGTATTGTTTTCAATTCCTGATTTTTTTTAAGTAAATTAAAAAATTTCAATCTAGTTGAATAAATTAATATAGAAGTTATAAATCCTTTTTTTTCGATGTTTGCTTACTTTTCATTGCTGTTTTTGAATCTTGATGAGTTAAGTTAGGCATATCAGACCATAACATTTTGTAGAATAAGATTTTAATTATAAACCCTAAGTGAATGAAATTTTTGTAGATAAAAAGTATCATTAACTTGGATACCCTTCAATTAATAGCAAATGAAAGTTGCTCTATGGCTGGTATAATTGTACATTTAATAATAAAACTAGGGCCCGGTGCAGTAGCCTAGTGGCTAAAGTCCTCTTATTGCACGCCCCCTGGATCCCATATGGGCGCTGGTTCATGTTCTGGTGGCCACACTTCCCATCCAGCTCCCAGCCTGTGGCCTGGGAAAGCAGTTGGAGATGGCCCAAAGCCTTGGGACCCTGTCCCCGCTTGGGAGACCTGAAGAGGCTCCTGGCTCCTGGCTTCAGATCAGCTCAGTTCTGACCATTGTGACCACTTGGGGGGTGAAATCAGGGCATGGAAGCTCTTTCCCTCTGTCTTCCTTTCGGTATATCTGCCTTACCAATAAAAAAATAAGTAAATCTTAACAGTAATAATGATAATAAAACTCGTTGTGTTCATTTCCTAGCCTTTGATGTTCCATTCTACCTATCTGTTGTGTTTTTAAGTATAACAAATACTGGAATACTTTTCCTTCAGGTGGTGAAACCAATCCCTATTAAAGGAGATGGATCCGAAGTGGGTGGCCTGGCCGCTGAGTGTCCAGGAGAGAGCCAGGCAGGCAGCCCCTGTCCGGTCCCTAAAGGCCGCCGGAGCCCGTCTCCGGGCGGCTCCCCGTCTGGTCGCACCGTCAAGTCCGAGTCGCCAGGAGTGAGGAGGAAGCGAGTTTCCCCCGTGCCCGTAAGTCAGTGTGTGCGCATCTGCTTTCCAGACTCTTTGGAGCACAGAAGAGCTTGGCCTGGCTGTGCTGCTGGAGCAGCAGGTCTCCCAGGGGCACAGGGCCCGGACCCCCCTCCGGCCTCCGCCTCGTCACACTGCCTTGGGCAGAACGGGACGTGCGGCCTTTGTCTTTCCCTGCTTTGATGTTCGCAGGGACGTGATAATAAAGCTACTGTCCAGGCCCCCTTGCGGAGTGAGAGCTGTGACAGTGGGCAGGATTTATTTCATCGTTCTGCACTGATCGTTAGAGAAGAAAGACAGTTTCATTTCGTAAGGATGTCTGATGAAGGAACAGAAGTTTTGTTAAGTCTCAGCCTTTATTCATATACACCGTGTGTGACATCCTGTGGTGAAATCAGCAGAACGAAACACCAAAGAGTGGCTGTCTCAAGGGAAAAGCAGTTGTGCAGTTGTTAAAGTTGTGGCTAGGATAGTCAGTGTCGTGGAAAAGCATCACGTGAGGGAACACGGCCAGCTGATCAGGGTTTTACAGACTTTGGGATTTAGCAGGCATTTTCTTAAAGATGAGTTGTGACTGTCATTCTGAGAAAATAACTGTAAGTGTTTCTTTCATCAGTGATAAAATTTGAGATTTCAGAGCAAAACCTGAAAGCTGATGAAACTCTTTGTCGCTGTGACCGTGACAGTTTCTCAAATACTTTAACTTTTTATTGAGATCGGTTGACATCAAATGTAATGTAATCTGTGTCATGCAATGCATACGTGTGGGCTCTTATGCAATGCAGCCTGAACACTTAGGAGACCTGAGTAGCTTCGTGAGCTCTGCTTTTACACATGAGCACTGCAATGTGGATCAAAGTGATAACGGGTCAAAACTCCATGTGGTTTCAGGCTCTACATGTCAGCTGTCTTCGGGAAACTACTTTTTGAGATTTAGTTTATTATCTAAGGAGAATAGTAATAATTATTTGATAGGGCGATTAAAAGACTGCTCTCTGAGACAAGTATTGGCACCGTGAGTTAAGCCACCGCTTGGGCCACCCACACCTCATGTCCCGGTGTCTGGCTTGAGGCCCGGCACTCTGCACTGACAGTCCAGCCTCCTGCTGGTGCTTCATGGGGGTAGCACATGTTGGCCCACATGGTTGGGTTCCTGCTGCCCGTGGGCAACTGGACTCGAGGTCCCGGCTCCCGGGCCCATCCCTAGCATTTGGGGAGCAAACCAGCAGATGGAAGATGCCTTCATTGTCACTACCATCTCCCATCATTTTGCCTTTTACATATCTGTGTTGGATTTTTTCATGTACTTGAAGCATCAAATCACAGCTGACAATGTGGAAGCAGCTGTGATAATCTTACTGTTTGCTGTACTGAGTTGGACAAAGGACATCTGTAAATTAGCTCGTACTTGGTCCTCTCAGCCAAACATTTATCCTCAGTTACAGATTTTAAAAGTTCGCCTGAGTTCAGTACATCAGATGAAGCGTTTTTGCCTTTCTTTAAGAAAAAACATATATTTACACACACTTTCAGACTGTAATCTGCCACACAGCTATCTGATGTGACCTCTTTGATTCATAGTTTCTTATCAAAAAGTGAGATGCTTATCTAACGGAAAACAATTGTGTGCAGTTTCAGAGTGGCAGAATCACTCCGCCCCGAAGAGCCCCGTCCCCCGATGGCTTCTCCCCGTACAGTCCCGAGGAAACGAGCCGCCGCGTGAACAAGGTGATGCGGGCCCGGCTGTACTTGCTGCAGCAAATAGGACCCAACTCCTTCCTGATCGGCGGCGACAGCCCAGACAATAAATACCGCGTGTTCATTGGCCCACAGGTAGGATTCGTCACACTTTTATATTTTATTAGTAGATGTTACTAACACATATTTAAATATTACAATGTTCTTAAACGTAGGTCAGTTGGGGCAGGCAAACGGCCTGGCACTTAGGAACCCCCTTGCGATGCCTCCTTGAAATGCCTGGCTGGGAGTCCCAGCTTGCTCCTGATTCCAGCTTGCTGCTGGTGCGCAGCTGGAAGGCAGCGGGTGATGGCTCACACAGCTGAGTTTCTGCCTAGAATGAGTCCCTGGATTCTAGCTTTGATCTGGCCCTGCCACCACTGTAAAATATAGACCAGGGGGCCGGCATTTTGGAATAGCTGGTAAAGCTGCCATCTGTAACATCAGCATCATGTATGAACCCAGTTCAAGTCCCAGGTGCTCCACTTTGGAATCAGCTCCCTGCTAATGCATTTGGGGAAGCAGCATAAGGTGGCACCAGGACTTGGCCCCTGCACCCTCACGGGAGACCCAGGTGAAGGCCCTGCTTCACGCCGGCCATTGTGGCCACTCAGGGAGTGAGCCAGCAAATGGAAGAGCTCTGTCCTTCTCTATCTCTCCTTTTCTGTAATAAATAACTTTTAAGAATAGAACAAGTAGGGCCCGGCGCAGTGGCGCAAGTGGTTAAGGTCCTCGCCTTGCACGCCCGGGATCCCATATGGGCGCCGGTTCTATCCCGGCAGCCCTGCTTCCCATCCAGCTCCCTGACTGTGGCCCGGGAAAGCAGTCGAGGACGGCCCAAAGCTTTGGGACCCTGCACCCACGTGGGAGACCTGGAAGAGGCTCCTGGCTTCGGATCGGCATAGCATCGGCCGTTGCGGCTCACTTGGGGAGTGAATCATAGGACGGAAGATCTTCCTCTCTGTCTCTCCTGTCTGTATATCCGCCTTTCCAATAAAAATAATAAAAATAAATCTTTAAAAAAAAAGAATAGTACAAGTAAAATAAAATTTTAGATCAGTAATAAAGTTTACTTAAGATGTATTTTTGGCTGATAACTGTTTTTCTTTAGCACAGTTGTGAGGTTTTTTTTACTATCGCTTAACATATCCAATAAAATATATTTGTGTAGTATAATCATTGGCTATAGGAGATTAATTCATGAGATGGCTGGCTGGAGACTTCTTATGTCATGCATACAAGGGGACTTTAGGAGGCTTGTGGCAAGTGTGTATTAGGGAAAAGCTATACAAAGATAGAAGGTTTGCACAAAAATAAGCCTATCTTTTAATTATATTTTTCCATGAACTTTGAAACTATGCTGGCATATGAGGAAAATGAAAAATATACATTTTTTGGTAATAAATTTGGAAATAAAAAAATCATAAATATTCAAGTTCTAATAGAATCATAGATTTATTAATTTGTAGGTCTTTTTTAACTCTTCAGAACTGCAGCTGTGGGCGTGGAACATTCTGCATTCATCTGTTATTTGTTATGCTCCGGGTATTTCAACTAGAACCTTCAGACCCAATGTTATGGAGGAAAACCTTAAAGAATTTTGAGGTAATCTTTTTGTAACATGCTTCAGAGTAAAATTGCCAACAAATTCTTACTTGTGAAAATTTTCCATGGGCACTAAGTTTAAATAGACAGTGTTTTCAAGGTGTGAGGGTATATAAGATACTTACAAATGGTTCTTGTGCCTATTGAGTGATGTTTTTTTCTCCTAGTCTGAAAAAAAACAGTGAACACTGAACTGTTAAAAAAAAAGACAATGTCCACTGTATTTTCCTATTTTTGAAGCTCTTAAATCAGCTTTATGAAAAACTTAATGCAAATACAAATGAAGAATTCAACTTACAGAGTTCTTCATATGCAAAATAATTATGGTAAAAATGTCATTGTTACTGTCTTTTTCCAACGTCAGGTTGAGAGTTTGTTCCAGAAATATCACAGTAGACGTAGCTCAAGGATCAAAGCCCCATCTCGTAACACCATCCAGAAGTTTGTGTCACGCATGTCAAATTCTCATACATTGTCATCATCTAGTACTTCTACATCTAGTTCAGAAAACAGGTTAGTATGTTGTTTTAAGGAATGTAAACCATTAATGTAGTGTTTTAATTCTAGGGGTAATGTTTATATCTTGCTCTTTGATGCAATTATTGAATCTCTCTGGTTAAAATTAAGGATAAAAAATATTTAAGGTCATCTGAGAATAAATGTGGACATTTTGTCCTAAAAGCTACTAGGTTAAAACTGGAATATTAATACAATTAATGTCTGTTTGATAAGAAAAGTCGAGTGGCAGAGAGAAAATGACTGTGTGGTGTGTATCAGTCACTACTTTGAGCCAAGCACCTGTTAACTGTTTCATTCCGTGCTCAGAACAACTTCAGTGGGTCGTGTTTCTTTGCTTTAGGGATGATGCAGCTGAGGCATTGTGTGGATGGGAAGTATCTGCCAGGCTTTTATATAGGACAAGAAGGTTCTTCAAAATCACTCTCAGATAGAGAGCCCACTTTGTGTAGTGTGACTGCTGCTTTCACACCTGTCCCGAGGGAATTCTTACCTTGGTTCTTCTTCCTGTGAGAACCCAGGCGTGGCTCTTCAGAAGACTGGTTAGTTGTAAATCAAGGTACAGTGGCTGTTTTTATCACAGTTATTGCTTAAAATCTGCAGCGCGTCTCAGTCTCCCACTGCCTAATTGATGTTACAAGAATGACCGTATATGCCTAAAGCATCTAAAATGTAGCCCAGAGAGACGAGTGTCAAGTGTTCTTTTTTGTAGTGTTATAACAACTCTTCTTGCCATCCGTGACATCACTTGATTGATTTCGGGGTTTAATTGCTTCCAAGAGGAGAGCTGCCTCTCTCCTGAGGATGTCTCCTGAGCCTTCCCAAAGCACCCTAGTTCCACCTTCATCCCATCAACCCTTGAAACATTGTGGTTGTCTTCAAATTCAGGAACAATAAGAAAGTGCTGTTATCCTGACAAGTACCCAGTACAGAGAACAGAGAGAGGTTTTCCTCTAGAAAAAACAAATGTTTTAATTTTTACAGTTCTGATAAAATGAGTTGATTTCTGAGCTCCAGATGTTTTCAGTTGTTTGGGAAGTTGAGGGTTTTCTGGTTTCTGTGGCTCAGCGCTGCCTGCGGCCGCCCAGGGCCTGGGAGCTGGGAGCAGAGGCAGGCAGTCGAGCCTGGAGATCAGCCCTGCCTCGGCGAGGCTCTTCTCCAACCTCTCTCCTCAGGAGAGTTCTCCAGCGTGTGGACCCAGACTGTATTCCAGACCTAGAGCCCTTCTTTTGATTGACAACATTTCTATGACTTTTCGTTTTGCAGAAAAATTAAAAATGCTGAAAGCCAGGTAGCTAAGGTTAAAATAGATTCCCTCTTCAGATGGGGGGTGTGGAATAAAAGCTTACAGGTATGGGCCAGCTGGGGTTGCTTGTGTGCATCTGTGTCCCCACAGAGAACTCAGAGGACATGCCATTTTCTCATGTCAGATTGTCCTGCTTGGCTGGTTACATTTTTTGTTTTATGTTTAAAAAAAAAACAAACTAAAAATCAGTAAGAAGAAACTATTTCTCTGCACATTTCATATAATTTTTAAAAACATATGTTTTTATTGGAAAGCAAGATTAGCAGAGAGGGAGAAACAGAGGAAAAGATCTTGTTTCCACTGGTTGACTACCTAAATGCCCACAGTGGCTGGAGCTGTGCCAATCCAAAGCCAGGAGCTTTTTTGGGTCTCCCACGCGGGTAAGGGTCCCAGGCTTTCGGCCGTCCTCTGCTGCTTTCCCAGGCCACAGGCAGGGAGCTAGATGGGAAGGGGAGCCGCCAGGACACTAAACAGCGCCTATAGGAGATCCTGGTGCTAGAAGTGGAGCCATTGGACCAAGCCCAAGATTACATAAAATTTTATAGTATTTCAGAAACAATTTTTTAAATGGGGACAAACAAAATGAAAGTATTTTTAAAAATTAACAAAGCTGTGTCCCACGTAGTGGTATAGCAGGTGAAGCTGCTGCCTGTGGCACTGGCGTCCTATGAGTACTGGTCGGAGTCCTCCTGCTCTGCTTCCTGTCAGACTCCCTTTTAGTGGTCTGGGAAGGCAGCAAAAGCCCAGCTCTGGCCATCTGGGGAGTGACCCAGGGGCTGGAAGACCTCTCTTCCCCCTCCCCATTTCTCCTTTCTATAATTCTGCCTTTCAAATAAATAATCTTTTTAAAAAATTAACAAAACCTCGGGCCCAGCACAGTGGTGGTCTAGCAGCTAAAGTCCACTCCCTGAACGTGCCAGGATCCCATATGGGCACAGGTTCGAATCCTGGCAGCTCCACTTCCCATCCAGCTCCCTGCTGGTGGCCTGGGAAAGCAGTCGAGGACGGCCCAAAGCCTTGGGACCCTGCACCCGTGTGGGAGACCCTGAAGAAGCTCCTGGCTCCTGGCTTTGGATCGGCGCAGTTTCAGACATTGCAGCCACTTGGAGAGTGAAATCAGGGGATGAAAGATCTTCTTCTCTGTCTCTCCTCTCTGTATACCTGACTTTGCAATAAAAATAAGATAATTTTTTTAAATAACAAAATCTTATCCCCAAACCCATAAAACTACAAACAGGAACCAAGGGTCCCAACACATAAATGGGCAGAGGCATAAAGAAAATGTTCACCAAAAAATAGTTTTTCAGAGGCTAATATGTGAAAATTGCTCACATAAGAGAATACACATCTTTTTTAAAAAAATTCCAGTTTCGGGCCCAGCATGATAGCCTACAGGCTGGGTTCCCCGCCTTGCACACATCAGGATCCCATATGGGCACCAGTTCTAATCCCAGCAGCCTTGCTTCCCATCCAGCTCCCTGCTTGTGGCGTGGGAGGGCAGCTGAGGACAGCCCAAGGCCTTGGGACCCTGCACCCACATGGGAGACTTAGAGGAGGCTCTGGGCTCCTGGCTTCAGATTGGCTCAGCTCCAACCATTGCAGCTACTTGGGGAGTGAATCAGCAGATGGAAGATCTTCCTCTCTGTCTCTCCTCCTCTCTGTATATCTGACTTTGTAACAAATAAAAATAAATCTTTTAAAAAAATACTTATTTTGTTTTTTGAGAGTTTTTTTGGTAGAATTACTAAAATTTAGAGGCTTTTATTATAAGATATATTTCTTTGTTTGCTTTGTTGTATAGCCTTTCTGGGGAAAAAAAGGCAGATTTTTTTAAAAAAAATATTTGATTAATGCAACAAATGTAGTGTTTTTTAAAAAACAAACGTATTTTTTTGGAAATGTACAGGCCTTACACATCTGGCCACTTCCCATGGTTTTACGGTGCAAGATTGATAGCAAACATACATCAGCAAACGAATGAGACAACTTACCTACTGCACAGCGGCCTTGTCTTTATGTTGTCATGGAAATGTTCTACCAGGAATGGAAGTTAGAAAGTCACCTGTCTAGGCTGACTGCGTAAAATGACTGCTCATAATTTGCTACAACTTTCTAGAGCTACACAGAGCCCACAGTCCCCGCATTCTGTGCCTAACCACACCCCCAGCCACACAAGGATATGTGTGCTTTTAAAGCATGACATGTCTTCAGAGGTAATTCTAGAGAAGTGGGCAGATATGCACCACCACAAAAAATGTGAAATGTTCTTTCAGATTCAGGATACGAATAGATGAACTGCAGGTCGGGGACAATGTGGTACGTTTGTTCATGGTCAGATCTTACAGCACTCTATTCATTTCAGAAGAACAGTGGCAGAATTTGAGGCACAAATGTCCTTTGTAAGACTGAAGTTCAGGCATTAAATTATCTTCATAGCCAAGCAGGCTACACCCATGCCCTCCTCCTTCTGTGCGTGCACAGGTGTTTGAACTGAATTTAAAGGAACTCTGAAATACCCAGAATTTATGGTGTTCACATTCTAAAATACAGATAGTTCTTGGCATGCAGCATTCCTTTTCTCTTCTTGAGCGTGTAACACTGGTGCTTCCCTTGCGTGCAGCATGAAGGACGAAGAGGAGCAGATGTGTCCTATCTGCTTGCTGGGCATGCTGGACGAGGAGAGCCTGACGGTGTGTGAGGAGGGCTGCAGGAACAAGCTGCACCACCACTGCATGTCCATCTGTACGTGTCGCCTTCCCTGCCTGGGCTCGGAGAGCGCAGTGGCTCGGGGCAGGGTTAGGATGTTAGGAGCGTGGCCAGGCTGGTGGGGAGACTGGCAGGTCAGATACCTAGGCCCCCGTGAGGTGTTCTGACAAGTTGTGGAGTTCGGAAGCTGCTAGATGAGGTGTGAGAAAGTCAGCATCGTCTAGTCCATGTGGTAATGATGAGGTAGGAACAGTGCCCCCCTAGCTGGTGCACCCGGAGGTGAGGAAGTGGGAGGTGAGCTGGGTGGGCAGTGCAGTGAGGGGACAGCATCGCAGTAGGGTCGGGATGACCTTGCCAAGGTCGGGGGTCAGGCGGGCAGGACACTTGGAGGAGTGAACAGTGTGTCACCACAACTGGTGAGGTAGATGTTTGCCTGCTTACAAATATTCTCTTGAGGTTCCCCAGAAACAAATTCTCTACTAACCATTGCAAATAGTTACACATACATTTGGTGTTAAATATCTACATTTTTGCAAGCTTTTTTTCTTTCATTTTCCAGGGGCAGAAGAATGTAGAAGAAATAGAGAGCCTTTAATATGTCCCCTGTGTAGGTCTAAGTGGCGATCCCATGATTTCTACAGGTAATAATTTTGAATTTATGACTCACATGTTTAGTGAAAGAAGCAAGTGTTCTCAAAAAGTGGTGTGAATCTACTCAGCATTTTTTTAACCGGTGTTGCTGTTGTTTGTTACAGCCACGAATTGTCAAGCCCTGTGGACTCCCCTTCCTCCCTGCGAACCTCACAGCCCATCCACCAGCCACCCTTGGGTGGGTCACAGAGAAGGAACCAGGAGAGCAACTTGAACCTTACCCACTACGGAGCTCAGCAGATTCCACCTGCTTACAAAGATGTAGCTGAGCCCTGGATTCAGGTCCGTGGCGTTTTGTTCATTTCCCAGAGAATCAGTGAGAACTCAGCTAATATGCCGGACCCCTTATTTACTTGCTTATCATTTAGAAAACACTTTGGCTTTTTTCCATCATGAGTCTTACTTCACTAAGACTTTTAATTCTATGTCTAGTGTTAATACTGTGCTGCTTTTTAATGCAGGTTAAGCTTCAAAAATTCTTTGTAATTTTACCTGCCAGTTTATAAACATCTTTCTGAACCAACAGAACTAACAAGTTATCCCAGGACAGAAACTAAAATCCTTCCATGTTTTTTCTGATGTTAACACCCCCTTCTTGCCAGAAATTCCTGTTGCTTTTTTGCTGTCATTTCGTTTTTCCTTTCTGAATCTTAATGGTAAATAGTGATGCCAAATGACCACCAAGTGGTGAGTAAGAAAAACATCGATCGTGGCCATTTGTAAAGATAGTTTCTGTTCCTTTACTGTTCTCTTCCAGTCACTTTAACTTCAGTAACGTAGGGGCTTTTGTTGCTTTCTTGATTGCTTAGTCCTTGCTTGAAGACTGTAGGATCCGGGCCCAGCGGCACTGTGTCCTAGTGGCTAAAGTCCTTGAACACACCGGGATCCTATATGGGCACCGGTTCTAATCCCAGCAGCTCCACTTCCCTTCCAGCGCCCTGCTTGTGGTCTGGGAAAGCAGTGGAGGACGGCCCAAAGCCTTGGGACCCTGCACCCGCGTGGGAGACCTAGAAGAAGAAGTTCCTGGCTCCTGGTTTCAGATCCGCACAGCATCGGCCGTTGCGCTCACTTGGGGAGTGAATCATCACATGGAGGATCTTACTCTCTGTCTCTCCTCTCTGTGTATCTGACTTTCCAATAAAAATAAATAAATCTTAAAAAAAAAAGAGAAAAAGAAAACTGTAGGATCCAAGGCCAGGGAGTGTCTTGAGTAGACAATAGAGAAGTAAAATGATTCTTTCCAATAATCTACTGAATTCCACAGATTGTTGTTAAATTTGGGAACAGACATATAAATCCATCTTCATGGCCATCATCATCCCACTGACATTTCTTCAGAGCCGCCGTCCAATAATTAAGTATGTAATTTTGTTCCCCAAAATTGTCTACCCAACTCTAATATGTAGACATTTTTCACATGACAAATTACCTTGGATATTAAGCTTACTTTTTGCTAATTGTTAGCTAAAACTCAAGGCCATTTACTCTTTCCTGCGCCTCTGGCAGGACACGGTCAGGACATACTCGGTAGTTCTGGGCATCCCACAACCCTTTGCTATTCTGAGCACAAGCATTTTTTACTTTAGTTTTTGACTTTTTTGTCTCCATGTACTGTAGTCTCACTTATACTTGGCTATTTTAGGGTTTTTGTTTGTTTCGTAGGATTTTTTTTAAAAGCCATTTCTGTCTAACAGAAAACAAACAAACAACAGCTTTTGATTTATCACTGGTGCCTGTTGCTCTCAGATCCTGCCTTCTGGTGCTTTCCTGTTTGGCTTGTATAACTCCTGCTCCAGGCTGCTTCTCCGTGAGGGAATGTAAGCAGTGTTTTCTTTGGGAGGTTGAAGGGGTCAGCCTGAACGATGCGCAGACCTGGAGATGCACGTAGCCTTCAGTGCAATGGGGTTCACTCTTCACTTTACTTGAATTAGTGTTAATGACTCGTGAGAACTATCAGGTAAACTTGAGCATGCAATTCTTCCTTGCTGCACACACCTGCAGATGTGTGAAGCGGTCAGAAAGGGGCCTTTCTTCCGTAGTGGTCAAAAATCATGTTTAAAATGGGGTGGCTTTATCCAGTTTTCCTTCCACTAAATTGTGTTTGTTTGACCCAGGTGTTTGGAATGGAACTAGTTGGCTGCTTATTTTCTCGAAACTGGAATGTCAGAGAGATGGCCCTCAGGCGTCTTTCCCATGATGTTAGTGGGGCGCTGCTGCTGGCGAACGGGGAGAGCACTGGAAACTCTGGGGGCGGCAATGGCCCCAGCGCAGGAGCCACCAGCGGGTCCCCGCAGGCCGGCGTCTCCGGGGACGTGGTGGGGGCCTGCTGCAACGTCCTGTCGGTGGTCTGCGGCGACCCTGTCTACAAAGTGTATGTTGCTGCTTTAGTAAGTAGCGTCATTCCCTCACCATCTAAGTGGGGCCGGGGTTGGGAGGGGGTCTTGGCCGATCGTTTCAGATACTGTTTACCAGATACAGTAGAGTTGCATTACCAAATTAAACTCTGGAAAAATCTAAAGTTCCTCTCCCAGAATCCCAGGAGATGACATTTTTCAGCTTCTCACCTGACTTCCCTTGCTGCTGATTTGAATGTGGTCAGGTTTTCTCACATCTCTTCGCTGTTCTTCAAGCAGAGTGGCTTGCTGTTTGCATCTCTGCGTATTCCTGGGCAGCCACTCTACACATGATCAAGTAAAAACTCCCAGATGCCTTATGGGATAAAGTGATCACAGCTACTTTGACTTTTTTTTTTTTAATTTGATATCCATTGGCTTCTCAGAGAATTTAAGAATCATTTTTGCCTGGTTCTTAATAGGCATTTTTTATGGAAATGCAAGAGCTGATCCACAGAAGAGCCTGCTATGGTCTGGGACTGCTCTCTTGTTCCTACTTTTAGTCTGGGAGCAATTGCCTTCCACTAGTGGGTGAGGCTGTTGCGACTGGATATTTCCTGTCCAGCTCACAGGCTTCTTTAGGGCAGCCTTAGCGTGTGCACCTTGGCCAGATATGTATTTGTTGGAGGTTAGGGTGCGGCTACAAGGGCTGTCCAGTGTTTATCACCACTAATGGCCTCAGCCTAGTACATGCCAGAGGCACTGCTGCCTTAACCTCTCTGCCCCCAAGTCATGCCAGTCAGTAGTGGCACCTCCTGGTAATGTTACCGAGTAGGGCACCCCAGTTCAGAATCCCTGCTTAACTAGTACCTGTCTCTTTCACTTCCTCAGTCTCTAAGCTTCCTTCTGACATGCACAGTCTTTGTGTCTGACCTATCTGCTGGTGCGTGCTTTGTTAAGTCTTCTAAGCCTGGAGGTTAGGGACGTGGGCCACGTGGGCATGCTCAGCTCTGGTCTCACCTGACCCAACTGGCTATTCAGTTAAGGTTTCAGAAATCTAGACTTCTGGTTCTCCGTGTGTTAGCAGTGGGACTCTCCAAGAGTTACTTCACAGACTGTCTTACACTTTCATATTCTCACCTTGAAAGCGATGAAAATATTTTCGCTTTTCAATGTGAAATAAGATGATGTGGAAACTTCTAACCATGATGCCTGGTGCAGTTTTGAAAATACAGTAGTTACCGATAGCATATAAATGCCACCTGAATTAGAAACCATTAGAAGCTTCTAGAACTTAAACATCTTATACATCAAAGTTCTGTAGAAGTCTTGTAGGGTTTTCAGAAGTTCCCTGAACACACACACACCACCCCACCTCTCTCTTAGTTATGATCAGCAAATGCAAAATTACTCAAAGGTGACCAGGTCTGTTTTAGTGAGTTTTTAGGAACCCTGAAATAAGCGGAAACAGTTTGTGAATCTGTAAGAGCAGCAGGCAGGATGCATTGTTCCCAGATGTGCCCGTTTTTCTATCAGTCGTTTGAGACGAGTGTACTGTGGAATTTTTGACTCGGCCTTTTGCCTCTTCCGGCTCTTTGCAGCACAAACCTTTAGACACTTGACTACCTGGCAGGTTTCTCTTTTTGGGAACCCATCTTCTGGGAGCCATCCCTCGTTTTCCCAGCCAGTGGTGACCCCTTCCTCCTGCCATGTCGCCCACCTTACAGACACCACCTAGTGCCTCACTCTGGTTGCCCAGCTGAGCTTCAGGCTGTCCGTCAGCTGGCCTGGGAGCTCCGGGAATTTGGGCACGCTAAACGATGCCTCTCTCCTCTGCCCTCGGAGCTTTCCTTTCTCATTTTCATCACCATTTCCCCACCCTCTTTTCTTGTCTTATTCCTTCTGCTTCCCTCCCCATGTATCATTCCTTGCTGAACCATGTGGGAGTCTTATCTAGGTATCATGACGCTTGGTCTTCACTTCCTTGGCACATGTCAAACATACATGCTTCTGAGTGATCACAGTGCACCCTGCATGTTCTCATTCATGCCATCATTGTGTACTACCAAACTCCTATTCCAGTCTTCTCAGTTGGGTCAGCAATATACTTTACAGCTAAATTGCAAACTTCATTCATATTGCATTAATTTTCCCACCAATTTTTTTTCTGCCTGAAGATCCTGTGCAGACTCCCACATTACAGTCAGTCATCCTGCCTTGGTGTGCCGCTACTCATCTATGATTTTACCACCTCTGCCTGTCTGTCATGACCCCGGCACTCTTGAACTGTACCTGGTTGGAGTGGAGTGCCTGTCCATGTGGGTGTATGTGATGGGTGCACTGAGAGTGCCTCACACTTGGCACAAGAAAGCCACGGGCTGCGGGGTGGCGGGGCGGTCCCTTCTCTGGGCACTGCAATGGCGGCTCATGCTCTCGAATTGTGGGATGTCTGGTGTCTCTGCTATAAGTTTCTTTGAGGCTGTACAAATTCTCTTTCTCGTTGGAATTGTGCCCATAGTTAGCATTTGTCACATCTGACGTAGGGCACATGTTACCAGTCCAATAGAACTGGTCCTCTAAAGGTGTGGAATCTGTTGTCCTCACTCTTTCCCTGTTAATTGAGATCCTTCCATATGAGCTGTCTCTTTCCCTTTTATGTATCTGTTCGGTTTTAATTTATATTAATGTAAACGCAGATATTCTGTAGCTCACAGGGCAGCCAGCATTTTGTTGCTTGAATGATTCCAGCGTTGGTCATCAGGAGCTCTTTGGGCTTGGCTCCTATTCTTTTCCCAAAAATAATTTTTTATATTAGTCAAATTGTGTTTTTTAAATACTGAATTTGAATAATTACTTTCTGCTACATTTTTTATTTATTCGGCTATTTCTTCATGCTATTACAAATTCTGATTCTTTTTTTAATGTTAAATTGTTGGTGCTTCTATGAAGTAAACAAATTTCATGTATTTCACAATGCAAATTGAGGGGCACAGTGATACTTGCCACCCTGTTCTTCCTGCCCACGTTCCCCACCCCCACCTCCTTCCTTACTTCCGCTTCCTTTTTCATTCGTTTTTATAATGACATACTTTCAGTTCATTTCACAAGCACCAGATTAGCATTCCATAGGTAAAGAATTCAACAAATGGCAAACTGGGGGGAGGAGGGTGGAGAAAAACATTGTTCCCCAAGAATTCAGACCGAGGTTGTAAGCAGTGATCACATCTCAGCATGTCAGTCTTTTGGTTTTTTTTTTTTTTCAATAGGTAAAGCTCCATCACTATCGTTACTGTTACTCAGAGCGTCTCAGAGTAGTCTGTGGTCTCCAATGCTTTTTAAACCCAGACTGACCTGCAGTTTTTCCTCCCCAGAAAACGTTGCGAGCGATGCTGGTGTATACTCCCTGTCACAGCATGGCAGAAAGACTCAAGCTGCAGAGACTTCTCCGGCCAGTTGTCGACACCATCCTGGTCAAGTGTGCTGATGCCAACAGGTGAGGCCTTCCTGGAACCCTCACACCCAGCAAGGCCTTGTCACATGTTTACATCTGAATATTCTTCTCTAATGTGGGTTCAGAAGTCAAGATCTCTGACACTAGAGGGAAGAGCCAGTGGCAAGCAAAAGCCAGCCTGACAACCATTAGTGTGTTAGTGACCAACTCTTAAATACGCTCTTAATCTGAAATCCAGTTGAGGGAAACATTAATAAAGGTATCTGTAAACTAGAATCTGACCTGGGAAGATGAATTACTAGTAGAATCCTTACATCTTCCAGCCATTACTATCAGGAGCCAAAAAGATGCTATTGTTTTACTCTTGCAAGGAGTTTTTCTTGAATTCTTCAAGGAATCTATATATTTTTGAAAATATCCTTGGAGACTAACAAGGAACAAAGTAATGCTAAGAAGAAAACTGAGGCGGTGAAAGAAGTTGGGGCTGTAAAATGAAGCCCGGTCCAGGCTTCCTGAGCCAGTGCTTACCTTCTGTGCTATTTCAGAGCAGGAGGAAAAGGCTGCCTCATTCAGCGGGCAGGGCCCTGGCAGACAGGTGTGTCACACTCCCCATTGCTGCAGCCCAGCACATCTTGGCTGTCAAGAGTGTTGGGTCTTCCTGTGGTGGCCTCTGCCGTGACACCCATTCTCCCTGTGCGTTCCTGTCCTCCCCAAGTGGACTCAGCTCATTGTTGAGACCCTCAAAAACTATCTAATCAGACTAGTGACTTTTCCTCATAAAGTTTATGTTTGACCGCCATTGTTGTGCCCACAAAACACTACCAAGTGAAAAATGCTTGTTGCTCAGAGAGTACATTATAACTCAATAAAATAGCCAAAATCACAAATATTTTGTAAAATGAATGTGAAAAGTATCATTTTCAACACCAGGATAGTTGCTTTTTTTGAGAATTTCAGTGTTTTCACAGCATTTGTTGTGTTTGCTCCTTTCTGAAATCTGTTAGGCTGTTTATTTAGCCACTCTCCGTTTAATGACAATACTTAAAAAAAATTTTATTGTTTGGATATTGGTAACTCATTCTGGCTATCAGAGAATTGAAGGGATTTGAATGGAAAGGTTTTGTTTTTCAAGAGATTCTTGCTGAAGTTCAGAAATGAAAACCTCAGGAGCTGCATTCTTCTTTATTATTATTATTCTGATATTATCTCATTTAAGTCAGTACTTCACAAAAACTAGCACTAAAGATTCCCTGCTGCCATGGAAGGTAAGTTTGAACTTACACAGATGTAATGACGAATGTCCTTTCCAGTGGCATTTGTTGATGAGGCTTCAGGGGTAAAAAGCCAACACTCTGGAAACCCGGCTTGGTCCTAGAGCTGGACGTTCCTGTGCTGCTGTCGGCGGACAGGTTCTGCTCGGCCCAAGCCTCACGCTGCTTTTCTTTCTTTTCCAGCCGCACGAGTCAGCTGTCCATATCCACGCTGCTGGAACTGTGCAAAGGCCAAGCGGGAGAGCTGGCGGTCGGCAGAGAAATCCTGAAAGCTGGTAATCCTCCCTCACCCCACAGTAGCACAGCCCCCTCGCCGCCCCAGCAGCCTGGCCTCAATCTCACGGGGCACTCACAGTATTCTGAAAGTATAAATTGGTTTCACTCAGCTCAAGTTAGAGACCTGAATTAGATCAAAGTGAGATTCTTAAACAAATAGAAATGGTACTATATTTTGTTGGCCTTAGAATATTTAATCGTGTTTTGTTTTTTTTAAAATATTGTTTTTGTTTTCCTTTGTTTTATTAGGATCCATTGGCATTGGTGGTGTTGATTATGTCTTAAATTGTATTCTTGGAAGCCAAATTGAATCAAACAACTGGCAGGAACTCCTGGGCCGCCTTTCTCTGGTAGAGAGACTGCTGCTAGAATTTCCTGCAGAATTTTATCCTCACATCGTCAGTACTGATGTCTCACAAGCTGAGCCTGTGGAAATCAGGTAGCTTTGTCTTGGATGTTTTCTTCCCACCCACCCCTCATCTTCCTCAAGAATGACACATTTTAGAATTATGAAAGACTCGGAATTTACATAGAGCAATGGCTAGAATACTCCGATACTCTAGTATTTTGTGGAAAATGCCAAAAGAGCCTGCAAGCTCAGCTGTACAGTCAGATCTGAGGACCCTTTTGTAAATTGAATGGCCTTGTGATGTACACAGACTCAATTGGAACTTTGTGTATTTTTTCAGTCATTTGAGCCTGCATAGTGATCAAACTTTTCTCTTTCAGGTATAAGAAGCTGCTGTCCCTGTTAGCCTTTGCATTGCAATCCATTGATAACTCCCACTCGATGGTCGGCAAGCTGTCCCGAAGGATCTATCTGAGTTCTGCGAGGATGGTTACGGCAGTGCCCCATGTGTTTTCCAAGCTGTTAGAGATGCTGAGCATCTCTAGCTCAACCCACTTCACCAGGATGCGGCGGCGGCTGATGGCCATTGCCGACGAGGTGGAGATCGCCGAGGCCATCCAGCTGGGCGCCGAAGACTCCCTGGGTGGCCAGCAGGGCGGCTTCGTGCAGGCCTCCGCCCCTAACAGCTATCCAGCAACCACAGAGCGTACAGCCCAGCTAGAGAAAACTGGACAAGGACTGTGTGCTACAAAGTTGAGTGCCAGTGCAGAGGACGTCTGTGACAGACTGGCCAGCGTTTCAGTGGGACTTCCCGGCTCAGCAACAATGGAACAACCAAAGCCAGTGCTTCAGACAAAAGGCAGACCCCATAGTCAGTGTTTGAACTCTTCTCCTGCGTCTCATCTCTCGCAGCTAGTGCTCCCAGCCTCCTCCACCCCGTCGGTCCCAGCCAGCACTGCCACAGACCTCCCCAAGCAGAGGCCGCACGGATTCATTCCCTGCAAAGTGCCTTCTGCGTCTCCTCAGACACAGCGCAAGTTCTCCCTGCAATTCCAGAGAAACTGTTGTGAAAACAAAGACTCAGATCAACTTTCCCCAATCTTTACTCAATCAAGACCACTGCCCTCCAGTAATATACACAGGCCAAAGCCATCTCGACCCACTCCAGGTAACTCAAGCAAACAGGGAGACGCCACCACCAGCAGCATGACACTTGATCTGAATGGCACTGCCAGGTGTGGGGACGGCTCTGGCAGCAGCAGCAGCAGTGCTGGGAACGCCGTTATCCCCAGTGAGGAGACGGTGTTCACCCCAGTCGAGGAGAAGGGCAGGTTAGATGTCAACACTGAGCTCAACTCCAGTATTGAGGACCTTCTGGAAGCCTCGATGCCATCAGGCGACACGACAGTAACGTTCAAGTCAGAAGTCGCTGTCCTCTCTCCGGAAAAGGCTGAAAATGACGACACCTACAAAGATGATGTAAATCATAATCAGAAGTGCAAAGAAAAGATGGAAGCCGAGGAGGAAGAAGCGTTAGCCATCGCCATGGCAATGTCGGCGTCTCAGGATGCGCTCCCCATTGTTCCTCAGCTGCAGGTGGAGAACGGAGAGGACATCATCATCATCCAGCAGGACGTAAGTGGAGAGGCTCTGGGGGCAGTTGGCGTGGACTGCGCCCCTCACAGGGTTCGGTCACTGCAGTCAACTTCTTCACGCAGAGTTACTGAGTAACGCTTGTCTTGTTTAAGCAGCAGTGCTCCTGACTTCTAAGGCGTTAGTCTAAACTGTTCTGTATAATCACCTCTGTGATTCTATAATAGTGACCATTTCTGCATTAGATATTGGTCACCAACAGTGGCCATATAGAAGTCAAGGATGATGGTGGTTTGGGAACCCACACTGAGCAAGAGAAATATTTTTGCTAGACTCATCTCTTTAAAAACCTTACTCTTTTAACAGTAAAGATTTCTTCCATTTAATATGTAGACACCAGAAACTCTGCCAGGACATACCAAAGCAAAACAACCATACAGAGAAGACACTGAGTGGCTGAAAGGCCAGCAGATAGGCCTGGGAGCGTTTTCTTCCTGTTACCAAGCTCAAGATGTGGGAACTGGAACGTTGATGGCTGTCAAACAGGTAAATGAACTAGTTCATATTATGAAATAAAGCATGAGCAGCTACAAAAGAAGGGGGTAACACTATGTGTATATGTACTTTCTCTAACTTTTGGGAAACCTAAATTCCCACGTGGACATTGCTGGAGCTACCACGGTGCAGAACAAGCTACTGCTCCTCCTGTGACACAGCTCCCCATGTGAGCAGCCATTCGTGTCCCAGTTGCTCCTCTCCAGTTCAGTTCTCTCTTGCTTATGGCTTGGGAAAGCAGCAGAGAGGGAAGATGGCTCGCGTCTTCAGGCACCTGCACCTTCCTGGGAGATCTGGAAGGAGCTCCTGCTTCAGCCAGGCTCGGCCGTGGCCACTGCAGCCTGGGGAGTGCTCCGCACGCAGAAGTGCATGGGCTCGCTCTCCCACCCTTCTGTCTGTAAATCTTCCAAATAAAAATCTTAAAAAGCACCAGAACTATCACAAATTCTGTGTTTAGTTTGTAGGTGTGATTTTCACACTCCTCTGAGCAGTTTACTAAAGTAGTGCCATCCTAGGAGTTAAGGTTCATTTGTTTTAAAACAATTTCAAAACTGGTGACCTATTGAAACCACTTCAACGAGTATCTCTGAGCATGCCCCACATGTGGGACTTGGGGTGGGTGGGAAATCAGGTGGGGCTTCTCCCTCAATATCCCCCTGTACCTCAGATATATGAGGGAAACAATATGGAAATAATAGTTTTACCCACTTTCCTGGAGCCCTTGACCCTTTATGCGCAAATTAACCATGTAAAGATTGTTAAAATAAAAAATATTAATTAAAAAAAATAAATAAATAAAGGGAGAGACAGGAATTTTCCATCCACTGGCTTACTCCCCTAGATGGCTGCAAACAGCCCGAGCTGGGCCAGGCCGAAGCCAGGAGCTTTATCCGTGCCTCCCCCTTGGGGGCTAGGGAGGCCCACACACTTGGGCCAGCATCTGCTGCTTTTTCAGGTGCGCTAGCAGGGCGCTGGGTCCAAAGTGGAAAAGCCAGGACAGGAACTGACTCCCAGAAGGGACACTGGTATTGCAGGTGACAGTTCTAACACTACACAACACCAGCCCCTTGCTGCCCAAGAGCACCTGACCTGGCTTCTTTTGACAAAGTGCCCTGCATCCCTGAACACAGATGGTACAGCTAATCGGGATTTGTCCATTTTCAATCTGATTTTACATGAGAATTATAAGTAGCATCTCATCAGAACTCACCAATTTGTGAATGTTTCTTTGAAACAGGTGACATATGTCCGAAACACATCTTCTGAGCAGGAAGAAGTGGTGGAAGCACTGCGAGAAGAGATCCGAATGATGAGCCACCTGAATCACCCGAACATCATCAGGATGCTGGGCGCCACCTGCGAGAAGAGTAACTACAATCTCTTCATCGAGTGGATGGCAGGTCTGTGCACAGACTGGACTGTCTGCTGTCAAGTTTAGGGAAAATTTTTGTTAAATCGTTTCGATTTCCAAAAGTGAATCACCCCTAATTATATGACCTGCAAAGAGGGAGAGGAAAGAGGGGAGAGACATAAACCCAGAGCAAATTCCCATTCACTGGTTTGTTCCCTGAGTGCCACAACCACGGAGGCTAGCCTGGGCTGAAGCCAGAAACCAAGCCAGAGGTCCCTGGTTGTGGCCACCAGCTGTGTGAGCTATCACCTGTTTTCTTCCAGCCAAAACTAAGAGCCCAGTGCTCACATTTTGTATATTTTGGTTGAGAAGACAGGAGTGAATTGTACTTTGCAGGAACAGTTACATCCACAATTGTTCACTTTTAACGCATTCTGTAGTCTATCCCTCAAGTTAAGTTGTTCCATGAAAATGTCTCCTAAGGGGGCCGGTGCGGTGGTTCAATGGGCTGAAGGCGCTGGTATCCCATGTGGGTACCAGTCCAAGCCCCAGTTACCCCACTTCCACTCCAGCATCTTGCTTGTGGCCTGGGAAAGCAGTTCTTGGGCCCATGCAGCCATATAGGAGACCTGGAAGAAGCTCCTAGCTGCAGATGGGCTCAGCTCTGGCCTTTGCAGCCATTTGGAGAGTGAACCAGCAGATCAAAAGCAGCTTCTCTCAGTCTCTCCTCCTCTCTGTAAATCGACTTTGCAAGTAAAAATAAACAACCAGAAAATGAAAAAGAAGTCTAATTACTAGACTTTTGAAATGACACAGAAATGGGTTATTTTAGTTCCACTTCTGACACAGGATATAAATACATCACTTCAAATATGATTGTAAGTTAAATGCAGTAGTAAGTTTAAATGTAGTAGTAAGTTTAAGAAACCAGAGTGTAATGAATTCTTCCAAATCTGACTTGGGCTTGTAATTATTACTGTTTTGTATTTCTTACACAGGGGGATCTGTGGCTCATTTGCTGAGTAAATATGGAGCGTTCAAGGAATCAGTAGTTATTAATTACACTGAACAGCTACTTCGTGGCCTTTCGTATCTCCATGAAAACCAGATCATTCACAGAGATGTCAAAGGTGCGAGATCCTGGTGACAATAAGGAGACGCATGTGATTTTAAGCTTAGAAATTCAGTTTAGCAGCAAAGGTCCAACTATGGGATTGTCTGTCTCTAGAACGTTAGAACCGAAAGGGCTCTGGGCGTCCTGTCCACCTTCATGCCTCTACAGCGGATTACGACCCGTGTGTCAAGCCGCCTTCCCTATGGCCTTACTGCTAGTTGATGGCAGAAAAAAAAAGTCTCCCCATCCCCTTTCTTAGCCTTATGATGCACTGACTTTCCAGAACACTTGTGTTCTTGGTTTTACTTAGAATAATTGGAATATCGTAAACTTCTTTCACAAAAAATAATTTTGAAAATTACAAGTTGTTTATTTTGGTTGAGAGCAGCATTGGGCTTGCGTCCATGCACCTCCTTAGCTTGCATCGGACAGTATGTCGAAGTAATTCCATGATGCCTTTATAGTTAACTGTAGCATACAATTTGCATTGGTCTAGGTCAGTTGTGTCTCAAAACTAAGTCACACTGAAATCTGGGGAAAGAGATTTCTGTGAAGGCTTTCCAATACTTCAGCTTTCACACTACCTTAGGCCTCTTCTTCATTCTTTCCCTCTGGAACTGGATTTTTATAAGAGACTGTGTCCCTTTAGTAACAGCTGTGTCTGCGCCATGTAGTCCACTCCTCTCCCTTGGCGCAGTCACATCTGGGTACTTCATCTGCCCTTGCCCTTAACATCCGGTTCGTTTGCCCTCTTTCCCAACAGGTGCCAACTTGCTCATTGACAGCACGGGCCAGAGGCTGAGAATTGCAGATTTCGGAGCTGCAGCCCGCCTGGCATCGAAAGGCACCGGGGCGGGGGAGTTTCAGGGACAGTTGCTGGGCACGATTGCGTTCATGGCACCCGAGGTGAGAAGCAGCCGTGAGCGTGACGACAGTATTCCGGAGTTCTGTGTGACGGCATTGCACCTGTGACCACACAGTGGTCCCCATCTGTGCTCACCAGCTAGAATCCCGTAGCCCTAAAAATAAGGTTTTGGTAATATTCCTCTCATTTCAGGTTTTTCCATAATTGTTGACAGAATTCCAGAAGTTAGGTTTTAGTAGACTAGCTGCAAGATTGCTTCCAACAAGGAATAGCTGAATTGTTAGTAGCAGTTGTTTTGTAGTAAGCCCAAAATGCACACACGGAGCATTGGCAGTTTCCGTCTTCTGAAGGTGGATGAGCACAGAGAGGGCAGTCAGTAGCAGAAGTTGCACCAGCATGGCCAGTCATCTTCACGTGAAATCGTTACGTGTTTTCCTCCTGTCCCCTAGTTTACCAAGAACAGCGGGGCTGCTTGAGAAAGCTGTGGTGTGACCCTCCTAGACTCACAGTTCTCGAATATTTGTCCTGTATGAATGCAGTCCGCGCCGTGGCTCTTGGTACCACTGTTTTGCTTGGAAGTTAAAAAAACTAGTATTCATAACCACAAAAAAAAAATTGTAGTAAGTCTCATTTCCAAATCGCCTCTGCTTCGTTTTAGGTACTGAGAGGCCAGCAGTACGGGAGGAGCTGTGACGTCTGGAGTGTCGGCTGTGCTATTATAGAAATGGCTTGCGCCAAACCACCCTGGAATGCAGAGAAACACTCCAATCATCTTGCTTTGATATTTAAGGTAATTATGCGACAGGAGGCAGTTCCTCACAGGTCCTGCCTAACTATCAGTGTAACTTACAGGTAAACTCCCTTGCAATAAATACTCCCCAGGACTTTGGTGCCAGTATCCATGGCATGTGTGGTCAGTCCTCACTATTAGGAGTAGCTAGACTCTGTGAGGGCATTACAAACACTGAGTGTCTGAACATGAATCGTCATTCATGCTCAAGGGAACTTCAGTAAGTTCATGGAAAACGTTGTTTAAAAAAAACTATGTATTTCAGTTTGTTTACCAAAATTAAAACATCTTTTTAGTTACATTTTTCTTTGAATTTGTTATATACTTTTCACTTTAAAAACGTGAAGATTTTTATGTACTTTTCACTAAACAAAATGGTAAATGAGACTTTTATCTAAATTCACAACCAAGTCAGTTGCTAAATCCTACCTTTTTACCTGTCATCACACCACTCTGTGCTGTGCGGAGTGACGCGACAGGTGGCAGTCACAAGGTGCACAGGTGGACCAGGAGGCCCCCAGGCACCAGCTGGCCATGTGCCTGTGTGGGCCTCAGCCACCTGTGACTTCTCCACCACTCTTCCCCCTGTGGCAGAGACCCCCTGCGCACGAGGCCCACATCCATGCTGGGTTCTCTTCCTGCACTCCCTGGCTGCCCTGCCCAGCCCCCGGGTGCCTCAGCAGGTGCCTGACGCCCTTTCTGTTGGTTTCCTGGCTGTCCTTGAGCTTATTCGCGACCGAGTCCCTCCTCTTCCTTCCTGGACAGAGGTGGTGCTCAGTAAATAATGAAGTGTGGTGTTAGTTCAGAGTTTCAGTGACACCCTGGAAACAATGGGAAGTGTGTTTCAAATTGGCAGTCTCATTTTAATAGATTTTGTTGCATTTGTTTCATAGATAGAGCTAAAAGAGGATTATACTGTAGCATTTTCAGTTTGCTTAACTTCTAGTAAAAGTTCTTTAGGGTCTTTGAAACCAGAGAAACAGCATTCTCACTTTTATACTCTATTTGTGGTAGTTTAAATGCTGTAGCGTGTTGGTTTAGAGAATGACTTGGTAATAGTGCCAACATTTTAAATATGCTTCTGCCCATCGTCACACATTTCCTCTCGGTTTAACCTGTAGAAAGTTGTCAGGTTCAGGATTATCTATTGCACTATTGCTTGTAATATCCCAAACCTAGACTGTGTTATCCAGCATTAAGAAAGTAATTACCCACGCGATCTGAAACAATATAGATACCAATGCTTTTAGCCTCTACAGATTAAATCATTTAAGCCTACCTACTCATTCCTAATCACGAGAAAACTCCAAAATGTAAGTTGAAATTTCAAAAAAAAAATCCTAAAAAAATGTGCATCCTGTCTCAAGCCGCATGGATATACTTTTACATACACGTCTTACAGACCATAAGAAGCAAAAGCGGCAAGCCTTTTCTTCCCCATGTCGAATCATACTGTGTGTTTTCTCTGTGGTTGGAGGAAGGCCAGTGCTCACTCCTTACTTTTTTTTTTTTTTGCATTTTCTTTATAAATTACCTACAAAAGGGATCACTTGAACTGTCTTGCTTTTTTCACTTGATATATATTTTACATTTTATAAATCAGCACCAGCAACCTTCTAGTTTTGCAGTGTGTGGATAATTGAATTCCTTTCTTACTGCCAGGCACCCTAGCTAGTTTAGATTTCGTTATGAGCATTAGTGCAGTGGATAACCATGAACTTGGCCTGCACTGAAGAAATGCAGCTGTGCTTTGGATATCCTTGGGTTGCCTGGACATATTTAGTTTTTCTCACTCAGTCTCTGTACTGGAAATAAAAAATGGACCCATTTAATGGAGCCCAGAAGACGGACCACCTGGGAGAGTGACCCTGGGGAAAGGAGAATCCATTTGAGTAAACACTGGTTACCCATCATTTTGGGGGACTTAGCCTCATTCACTGAGATAGCGCTCAAGTACTAAACGTTAACGGGCTTTTAGAGGAGGCCTACCCGTCCAGTGGGAGACATTCCCGTGGGCCTCTTGGGAGCAGGCAGACCCCTTCCCTGCGTTTCCATCTGCAGAGGCCGTGAGCTCCGCACAGGTGCTTGTCCACGGCTAGATCTGGCCGTGCGGGGCCTCAGCCCTCTGCCCTTTCTCTTGCAGATCGCGAGTGCCACCACCGCCCCGGCCATCCCTTCGCACCTGTCTCCCGGCTTGCGGGATGTGGCTCTGCGCTGCTTAGAGCTGCAGCCTCAGGACAGACCTCCCTCGAGAGAGCTGCTGAAGCATCCCGTCTTCCGCACCTCCTGGTAGCTGGTGACGCAGATCCGCTAAGGTGGAGAACTTCTGTGGGGAAATGCGCGAATAACCGGCTGGCCTTCCCGCTCCCGGGCTGCAACGCACGAGGCCAGTGGGGAACCGTTACCTAAGTATGTGATTGACAAATCATCTGTACCTAAGCTCAATATGCAAAAGTCCACAACTTGTGCAGAAACTATCAGCCGTGCCTTTCAAAGAACTGGCCCTAGGGGAAAGGATAGCAGTGAAGTCTGCATGACTAAGTAATGCAAACCTAATTTTATTTTTTTGGAGCACTTTTTCAGCAATATTAGCAGCTGAGGGGCTCAGGAGCAATTTTAGTGTTTCAATGACTCTTCCATTTCATGTAGTGATCACAAGCGGCAGGGGTTCCATAGCTGCATTTGCTTTGTGTCACTGGTTATAAAAGAGCGTATCTGTCTCCTCCAGCCCGAGTACGCTGTGAGCGGCAGTGAGCGCACGTGTCTTTAAGAGCTGGTGACTTGTTTATGAACCACAGCTGACCTTGTTTTTATTTTTTAATTCCTGGGCAGTTGTGGCTCATTGTGCATTTTACTGTTGGCCCATTCATTTCGTTTTTGGAAATTATGGTTCTATAGCGTCATTTCACCTTCAGTTTTCTTTTATATTCAGGGAAAGGTGATCTTTTCAAACCAGGAAAAAAAAAAGGACTAGATGTGAACTAGGGTTTAATATCTTGCTACTGCGAGAATTTTTAAAAATCAGATTTAATTCTGTTTTTCCAGTTGGAATAAAAGACTACCTACATTGAGGCAGATACTGTTTTTATTGTGCAGATTAACTATAAAACAACAACAAAAAAAATCAGCTGTTCTTTGGCTTGCAGCTCAAGGCCAAGGTCAAGATTACCTTGAGTTTTGAGTTTCCAAGATGTTTCTGGTTTCTGGTGTCAGGCTGTAGGAGCGACACACACTCCGTCTTCCTTTGTTCTTCTGGCACACGCAGCCGCTGTCGTCCTACTGTGCATCTGACCCTAGGCCTGGTTGCTAAATACCAAGAAAAGGGGACTGAATTTTAACTTACTCAATTACCAACTGAAAAATCCTTTTAAACAGTAATTTTGGCTTTGAACTTGGATAAGTATGGTTCGGAAGAAAGTGAAGTGGAGTTGTATTTGCACAGTGACCTGCTGATTTTAGTCTGGATTCAGATGCATGGACTCCTCGAGGGGGACAGCTGTGCTCTGGCCTTTTTTGGCGAGTCTTTTAAACCAAGTACTGATTAACTCTTAAATACAACTTTGAGAAATTTTAACTCTTCAGAAGCCAGTGTGAAATAGAATTGGTTATTCTCAAAGACTCAGGATAAACTAAATAAGCTACGTAGAGTACATTTAAAGTGTACAACACAAATTGGAAGTAAAATAAGTTACAATTACAAGATAAGTTTACAGGGATATGTTGCATATAATTTTTAAAAGGCAGTTTGTTTTTTTATGTGAATGTGTTTTAGTAAATTTTTACATTCCTTTGTTTTGGAAGATTGGCAATATTTGAAGAGTTAAAAAAAAAAATAGTACAGAAATGTGAAGTTTGCTAGCTGTGTGTGTGTTGTACTTGCCTCTTTCCTCTTGGACTGCTTGGGATTCTCCCAGTTGTGCTCAGATTGTCTCCGACTCCCGTGTGCGAGCTTTAAAGGATGCACTCTTGCCATTTGTGTACTGGAAGATCACTGGTCGGACGGTGCCGCGTCTGACCCCGATGTAAACTGTGGAAACTGAGGAACCTCAGCGAATCAGTGTTACCTTGTACATCAGCAACCCACCCACGTTTCAAACTCAGCCTGGCTCTCCTTGTCCAAATCCCTTGGGTTTGAGTTTGTTTGCAGTTCCCTCAGCTTGCTGGTAATTGTGGTGTTTTGTTGTTTTGTTTTCAATGCAAATGTGATGTAATATTCTTATTTTCTTTGGATCAAAGCTGGACTGAAAATCGTGTAATTATTTTTGTGTTCTTAATGTTATTTGGTACTCAAGTTGTAAATAATGTCTACTGCTGTTAATTCCAGTTTCTACTACCTCAGGTGTCCTATAGATTTTTCTTCTACCAAAGTTCACTTTCACAATGATATTCTATTTGCTGTGTGACTATGATTCCTAAGACTTGCAGGGCTTAAGGGCTAACTTCTATTAGCACCTTACTGTATAAGCAAATGTTTAAAAAAAAAAAAAAACGGAAAAAAAAAATCTCTGGGTTAAGAAAATTTGGCTTAAATGTATCCTTTGTTATTTTAAATATATCAAGATATTTTAATTAAAATTTTTACCCCCTTGAACCAATTTTATAGTATTTGTACCTATTTTGGTGTTTTGTCTTTATAGTAAATAAAAATTTTTGAACAAAATTTGTTTTGAAATAATTTCATCTTTATCAAAGGTAGCAGATAGGGGGCCATCGCGGCACAGTGGGTGAAGCTTCCACCTGCCTCACCGGAGTCTCCCACATGAACACTGGTTCAGGTAGGTCATGGCTGCACTGTTCCTAATGCAGCTCCCTGCTAGAGCAGGTGGCCAAGTGCATGGGCTTGTACCACCATGGCAGAGACCACCTGGCCTCTGGCTTCAGCCTGGCACAGCCCTGGCTTTTGCAACCACTTAGGGAGAGGAGCAACCGATGGAAGGACTGTGTGTGACTACACAGGGATTACAGACCACCTGACCACAGGTCCCAAGGCTTCAGCCAACCTGGGGCGGAACTGATGTCAAATTCTTGGCCAGCAGGAGCCACGACTGCCATGTCAGAATGAAAGCCCAGTGTTGCCAAAAATCTATCAAGTTTCAAAACAAACTTGAAATCTGAATTTAATGCATAATTTCCTGATGACTACACATAAGCTAAATTTTTTGTTCAGAACTATGGCTGTTGAGAATTGCCGATTCAAGTCTTTAGCCTACTTTTTTCAAATTGGATTATAGTTGAGTTCTTTATAAGTTCTACATAAAACAGTGGAAGTTCCTCAGAAATATTTAAAACTACCATAAAACCCAGTCATAAGTAGAATATCCAAGGAAAATGGAAGTAGTGCACTGACAGACCCCGCAGCCCGGGGCACCGCGACGCTTCCAGCGTGGGGCCAGGCTCGGGGACAGTGGGCGACCAAAGGGGGCCTGTACAAGGGATTTCTAGAAATTTAAAGAAGCATAATGTCAAAAAGCTATTCATGGATTTCAGCAATGTTTCGCACTAACAAACTTTTCTTTTAGTTCCATTTCTTCATAAACTTGTGTTACTCTCATTCACAATGAAATATTGGCCATAAGGATGAAAACTTGTTATTTGTGACAAGCTAAATGCACTTGAAGGACCTTAGGTTAAGTAAAGCCGGGTACAAGAAGTGAAATAGGGCAGGGGCATGTGACCTTCTGAAATTTGCCCTCTACAGTTGAGAGGCAGACACAAAATTTCCTTTCGGACTGGCTCTGGGTTTGCCCTATTGCCAGGTGGTGGGACCTGCGCCCTGGCTAGGCAGGCTTATCTGGGGTGTGTCAACCCAGGACCCTTACAGACCCGGTACCTACTGCGGACCCAGCTAGGGGCTGCCTCCACCCAATGGCAAGGGGTCATGGGGAAGTTGTTTCCGGAACTCTGAGCCAGGTTGATAAGCCCCAACACCGAGCAGATCCTGCAGACAGACCCTCTCCACCTGCCTCAGTGCCCACACAAACTCGATGAGCCTGGCTCAGCAGTCTTCTGCCCTAGCCAGCCTGGGCAGTGGCTGAGAGCAGCAGCATAGGCTGTGAGCACCACACAGCACCTGGCAGACCAGAGCAGGCCGAGTTTGGATCCCTTGTCCCCAGTCCCCTCTGCCCGGCTGCACTGGGCTTGGTGGGCTGAGGACTCTGATGTCATCTGGCACCATGGTGTCTGCAGACACGGGCCAGGAGATCTGGACCTGCCCCTAGGCCCTGGAGAAGGCTGAGAGGGACATATTATCCCCTTTCAGGCACTGCCCCATTACATAGCGAGGCAATATGTTGGCTGTGCAGTCGGGTTAAATTTGCACCTGAGAAGTAGTGTAAGACTGATCCGGACGATGGCAGAGCTTGCATCGCTGACAACTCGGGGTGCTGTCTAGTACTGAAATAGCTAAATAGCCGGAGACTCAGACAGAAGACGCCTTGGAATTTCTAGAAAGACAGCCACAAATGCAGCTACATTCGTGTAAGCCTTCCATGTGCAGATGAAACGATGCACCACAAACATCAAGACCTTCCGAGGAACCGAGACCAACCGAAAAGCAAGAGAAGGTGCCAGGAAACAACCACATAGGAATTTAGTTTTCTAAATGCTTAGGTGAAGACTTCAAAATAGCTCTTTTAAAGAAGCGCAATGAAACTTTAGAAAATGAAAAAGAAACCAGTCAGTATTCTCTAACATCCTTGACTAGGAGCAGTTTATTCTTATTGGAAAGGCAGAGTCACCCAGAGGAGAGACAGCTCTTCCAGCCACTGGTTCTCTCTTCAAGTGGCCATAATGGCCAGAACTGGTCAGAAACCAGGAGTTTCTTCCAGGTCTCCCTCATGGGCGCAGAGGCCCGGGGACTTGTGCCATCCTCCATTGTTTCCTAGGCCACTGGGAGGGAGCAGGATCAGAAGTGGAGCAGGTGGGACACAAACTGGTGTGCAGGCAGAGGATTAACAGGCTAAGCCACCACACCAGCCCCCGATAGAAGGAATTAAATAAAAGCAGAAATCCTCCAACTGAAAAGCAAATTTCTATCATACTTAAAATTTCACTAAGTGATCAATAGAAAAGATAAAACAGAAGACACAGTCAAGAAGCTTGAAAACAGGTCATTAGAAAGTGCATGGGCCTGGCATGATAGCGTAGTGGTTAGGATCCTCGCCTTGCATGCTCTGGGATCCCATATGGGTGCTGGTTCTCATCCCTGCAGCCCTGCTTCCCATCCTGCTCCCTGCTTGTGGCCTGGGAAAGCAGTCGAGGATGGCCCTAAGCCTTGGGACCCTGCACCCGTGTGGGAGACCCGGAAGAAGTTCCTGGCTCCTGGCTTCAGACTGGCACAGCACTGGCCATTGCAGTCACTTGGGGAGTGAATCAGACGGAAGATCTCGGTCTCTGCTCCTCTCTGTATATCTGACTTTGTAATAAAAATAAACAAATCTTAAAAAAAAAAAAGTACATGGTACTTAAAAAAATAATCACAAAGTGATGTTTGCTTCCAGAACTCTGGGGCAGCATGAAGCGAGCAGATACTGAAGGTACTGGGACTCGGAATTAAGCATGCCAGGGGAGTCTAAGAGACAATGACAGGAAGCCACCCAGAGCTAGAGAAAGGGGCAACTCTGCAGGCACAGGGCTGTCCCAGGGCTCCAGGCAGAGTCAACCCTGAGACAGTTACGAAAACTAACATCCCCACGGTCAAAGGTGTATTCCGTAAGGGTGTCAGTCTGAGCTCTGAATGATCCATTTCTAATCCAGCTCCCTGCCTATGGCCTGGGAAAGCAGCAGAGGACAGCCCTTCACCCACACAGGAGACCCAGAAGTTCCCAGCTTCAGACTGGCCCACCCCTGGCTGTGGCAGCCATGTGGGGAATGAACCAGCAGATGGCAGAGCTCTTTGTCTCTAACTCTACATTTCCAATAAATAAGTGAAAAGGAGAACTCATCTACATGTGGCTTACAGAAAGTCACTTGACACTTAAGGACACACAGAGACTGAGAGAATGGAGCAAATGGGAGCCAGGGCACGGAATGGACAGTCCAAGGACCATGATGGGGAAGCAGTCCCTTCTGTGTCCATCCCCCAGCCACTGGCAGGACTGGGCTAACCGGGGTACACTGCCACCTTACAGGTCAGTGACGGTAGGAGGCTGTAGCCCTCGCCAGCATCTGCACGGGCACATTGCTAAGGGAATTTTTGTAAAAGGGCCTGCACCGTTGCTGCCCTCTCCGTGGGTGGGGCAAGCTCACGGTGGTCGCGGGGACCACGGGAAGTCAAACTGCACAACAGAGTGCAACGTGTAGCTGGGGCTCTGACATTCCCAGAGCTCCCGAGGGCGTCAGCCAGGAGTGTGCTCACACGGACACCACAGAGTGTAGTTCACGCGCTGGCGTGCACGAGGCTGGTACCATGGTGGACCAGCCCCGGACACTGCCCACCGCCATGGACGGCACGGAGGTAGCGCTTACACCAACAGTAGTGATCGCACTCTACCCCGGCAGCAAACAAGCTCTCATTCAGGGCAGCGAAATAAAGCAAAACACACCCATCCTGAGCTTGGCTCTGGATCTGACCCCACTCTGCAGCACTGGCCGGGGGACGCTGGCCTCAAGCTGAATACCTCACACAGCTTCCACGGGAGGCGTGCTCACTCAAGCCACGGGCGTATCATTCAAAGATGAAAACCATCAGCGAAGAAAACGATCAAGTGTTTTCACAGAGGCCCGGAAGTCAACACAGAAACAGAGGAAGGACAGGAAGGCTCTGACTCCGCACAGGGATGAGGAGAATTAGCACCACGTTGAAACAAAGAGGGAGAAGCTGTAGTGAGGCAGTCGGCTAGTTCAGGGTCACCAGCTTGGCAGCCACTCCCCCCACCACCACCTAGGCGTGCCCTCCTGCCCACCTGTGACTCTCACCCATCACCTGAGCGGGGCGGTATTGCAGTGTTGTGTCACCACTCCTCTCACAAGCCCCTACAAAGGTTCATGCTAAGGAGGGCTCTCTCTCTTGGTCACATGCTTCCATTGCTCTGGCACACCAACTCTTGGCCTCCCCAGTCTCCCTGAGGACAGGTATCCCCTGAGCGTGGCCCCTGTGCGTCTGTATTCCTCACCCTCTGTTCACTGCTTGGGTGGGACAATGAAGATAGCAATGCTAAGATGCTTTGTGTATCTAATTTGTGTGCTATCAGGAGTTCCAGGAGAGGTGAGGCCTTACCTAGTGGAATGTGGGCAGAGAAGCCAGGGAAAGGTGAATGTCTGCGGCTTTGTAAGTGTGTCCAGGTTATTCACTGGGTGTCTCTTAGGATAGCTTACATTGCTGGGGAAGCTGGGACATGGGTCTTTACTTAATGGACGGACTTGAGGGTAATGAGCATTTGTTCCTCTTGGGGTTATGATTGGTTGGGTTGCCACATGGACTTGTGATTTGCTATTTCTAGAGGGCTCTGTTATCACCAAGCTTGGTTAATAAAGACGCCTTAATAAACCTCAGACCTGCCTGGCGTGACCCCGTAACACGGGATGCTGGTGCTCCAGGCTTTCCTGGCTACAGCAGACTGGGGCCCCTGTGTTTTGCATTTTGCCTTGATTTCCTCCTTTCCATTTTTGTTCTTTTCCATCAGAGTTTCTGTATTTCAGTGACAGTTCAGCCTACCTGGA